CTTTTAAGCCTTGGACACATGATCAACTTGGATAATAATCCACTGAGAACATGTATTTTTACTGTTTCTTTCTGATACATAGCTATAAAACGGGCCCAGAAATGATGTTTAGCAGACATGAAAATATTGTTCTGAGAACTAATGAATGAAGCATATAGTATAGACAGCACATTCAGTGTGAAAATGAAATATGTTTTTCCTTTTATGAAAGAAGAAAATGGAAGATGTGAGTGGAAATGCCATCCTTCCACAGTGCTAACATAATCTCCATAATTGTCTAGGATAATTATGGTTTTGAATATCTGTATTCCTCAGAGCTTTTTAAAGTGCAGAGAAGTTTAAAGCAGGGGTTTAAAACATCTTGTGAAGTTCAGAATACTTAGCCAAAAGTTTGTAGTGTATGGTACTATTAAGATGCAACATTATATTGTTATGTTCTGTGAATGATATTGCTACACAGTATGATACCGAATCTTCATTTAACACGAAAATGCTTTTCAAACATTGGTGAAAGGGGATTAGTAGTTACTTGTCTTGAGTTCTCAAAAATAGTAAGAGCAGTCAGCCTTGCCATGATCACTCTTAATATCTGTGCAATTGACTGCAAATGAAGCTTGTGGTTTAAATTCAATCATTGCCATAAGTAGCGAGATAATGCAATTCGTTCAAAAGACAAAACTGTAAAGTTTTTATTAAAAGTTCCGCTTTAATGGCTATGTGTATCTGTACATTCCAAATGTGATTTAAAAGTCAGTAATTGGATTTTAAAATGCTACAAAAATGAATATTAATCATAATCCAAATAAATAGTAAATGCATATTTTGACGGTGTCCACAATGGTCAACACTCAAGTTATGTGACACTAATATGTGTCTCTCTGATTGAATTTGCAGTCTCTATAAGTTATTGGTTTGTGTCTAACAGGCACATCAGTTTATTCAACTACTTATGTGTATGTCTGGCATTATGGACTACTCTAAATTGGATGAATCTGGAGTTTTAAATCTAGCATAAATTAGAGCACTTCCCTTTATGGTTTCAAAATCTTTTTAGCATTCATCTTTCCAGACAAATTTTCTCTTAGTTAGCTAATGTAATGGTGCTGCCTGGTCTTTATAATTCACAGAGGCCTACTGATCCTCCTTCTCCTTGAGGTTTGTAGATATTTGCAATTCAGTGTGGGGGTGAAACTTAATCCATGCTTTCTGATTATAAGCCTCATGGAAGTAATGTAGTGATTTGTCACATAAACCTTGACTCCTTAGAAAATATTACAGTCCTTTATGCTCCTACCAGATGTTCCTTACATATTTCTCTAGAAACTAATGAAATAATGTAAATAAGAAAAGATATCTTCAGTTCTAAAAACCTGTGTTAAATCATTTGCTGTTCTCTTAGTTTATGAATCTGAAAGATCCTTGTGATGTTACTAAATTCTTTTTGGTGTTCTTCAGCTGCCAGTTAAGTCCAACAATTCCATATACTAAGCCAAAAAATAGTAAAAAAATATTTAAATCCAAAGTGTCTTCTCTAGTTGGGCACAGCTTGTACTGTTCATGAGGGTATGACATGTCTGATAATTAATACTTATGTTAAGGTTCTGTTGATCAGATTTACTTCAAACGCTAGTTCAGAATTCAAATACATGGGTTGTAATGCTACCCCACGTAATTCTCCACACAAGGTGGGCTAATGCTTTTTGGTAGTAGTATGTATTGCACTGTATTTGTGTCGCATTAAAAGCAACTAGTTACTCAACTTGTGGATTTTTGCTAGTTGAAGAGTTTCACTGCTATAACCTCTGCCTATACAACACCTAAAAATATAATAATGCTTGAGACCCATTCAGGAACCAGTTTTCTTTTATCTGTGGGATGCCTGTAGACAGCTTGCAAATGGATTTCTTCTTATTTTACCATGTTAGCAGCAATCATATCTTAAAATATTATAGCTGGTAGCGAGCTGATGCTGAGCAGCTAGCAGTGGAGTGATAATACCTTGAAAAAAGAGGTAGGGGATACTTTTTTTCTACTAAGGCTTCATAGAGACCTATGGACTGTCATTTGTTGAGTGATTATAATGCAGGTGTCCTCCATCACAAGATCAAATGGATGCTGATCCCATGGCAAGATATTTGTGGTTGTGCAACAGGGGCTGGCATCTCCTGTGAGAAGTAGCAGGAAACTGGTGGAAAGATTTAGTCACGTTGCAGCCTGCCTATATCTGAACTGCCTTTGGGAAAAGATTGACAAGCAGGACACTGTGAGCTGTATAAGTCATTCTGATGACTTAGTGAATTTTTCAGTTAGGAGGTTGTATGCTCCTCCTTTCATGTAATCCTGATATCTGTCTGCCAATCTGTAATTCAGGTATAACCTGGTCTGTGAGGGCTTTTTCTGCCATTACTCTGCTCTGAGAGCATGTTGGGAAGTTCCCATGTTAGATGATTTAAAATGATTGTTTATTTCTGTCATGGTTTAACCGCAGCCAGAGACTAAGCACCATTCAGCCGCTCACTCACTCCTTCCCCCCTCCCACTGGGATGGGCAAGAGAATAAAAAAAAAGTAAAATCCGTGGTCTGATATAAAAACAATGTAATAACTAAAAATATAACAATGATAATGTATCAATATAATTCTACTAATTTATTATTATAATAATTGTCAGTAATAACAACAACAACAAAACAACAACAAAACAACAACAACAACAACAACAACAACAACAACAACAATAATAATAATAATAATAATAATAATAATAATAATAATAATAATAATAATAATAATAAAGAAATAAAACCCAAGAAAAGGAAACTGATGCTCAATGCAGTTGCTTACCACCTGCTGACTGATGCCTGAGCAGCGATCTGCCCCTCCCCAGCCAACTCCCCCCAGTTTCTATACTGAGCATGACACCCTATGGTATGGAATATCCCTTTGCCCAGTTCGGGCCAGCTGTCCCGGCCATGTTCCCCTCCAGCTCCTTGTGCACCGGCTCGCTGGCAGAGCACGGGAAACTGAAAAATCCTTAACTTAGGGTAAGCACTACTCAGCAACAACTAAAGCATCAGCGTGTTATCAACATTCTCACACTGAATCCAAAAGACAGCACTGTACCAGCTATTAGGAAGAAAATTAACTCTATCCCAGCCAAAACCAGGACAATTTCAGGTTCCTTCATTGTTCACACCTGACATAAGCATTATTCTAATTTCTACCTATATTATGTTCGTTTTTCTTTCATTATATGATGTTCCAAATATTCCTTTCTCTTTTTAATGTGAGAAAAGTCACAAGTACCCAGAGGCATGATATCTGTCTGTGACAGGAGAAAATGTATACGTGAAATAAAGAGTTTGTCTTCATTAATATCCACTGAGGGAATAAAGTCTGAACTAGGAAAACCTGTTGTAACTTGCAGTGAAAATCACATTGTTCATGTACATTTAAACCAAATTCAGTCTTTTGGCACTGAAAACATCTGTGGCTGCAGTTTTGCATACTATAACTTGCTGTATGTGTTATCATTTCCTCCCTTATGGACCAATTTCCATTTATTCTCCAGAAAGCGTGTTGCTTTTTGAATGGAAAGTTTTCAAGCTCACAGTTTGTATTTTCTCATGTCCACAGATGATGACTGGACAGAAAACAATAGCAAACCTTTTAGTATTATTTGTTTACTCTTTACATATTTACCTGGGATTTTGTATTCTCAGCATGTTTTGAAAATGTAATTTCCAGAACTCCTTTCTTGGAAGGTGCGCAGTATTATTGCTATTATGTGGAGTACAACATTAAAACAGAAATAGACATTTTCTCATATGTGAAATCTCTAAACTACTTAACAGGTGGTAGATTTTGAACTCAGAGAGTCAGTAGCCTCAAATCCCTTTTAATACATTATTACATCTAATGTAATTATGTTTGAATAATAGAGTTCCTCAACATTCTCTAATGGTAGACATGTGGCAGAAGTTGAAACTATTAATTTGGCAGCACTTTATCTCCACAGAAGAGTTGAGATACATCTATAAGGTCAAATACACACAATTGCAGAGTGGCTTCACATATTTTTCAAGATATGAGGATGCAAGCCAGTTTTCATCTGGCAGCCATGTAGGACCATACAAAGCCTGAGCTAAGTAATTCATCTTTGCATTGTGAACATGTAGGAATGTCTGCAAAGAGATGGGATTGTTTACAGAGGGCTAGATTGTACCCAGAATAATAACTAACTCCAGCTAGGATCAGAGGAGTTTCTTATGTGACACTGAGAATCATATGTGGCACAGAGTTAGTGCTCTAAAGAAATTAATCTCCTTGGTTAAATGGCAGTTCATCACTGCAAAACTGTTCCTGTGTGTTTTTAGATGGCTGCATACTTTACCACTATTACAGGAATCTGCTGTATCATTAATCATATTTAGATTTTTTTTTTTTCCTGGAGCCCTGCTGTCTTAAAGTCATGAAAATACCTGGTAAAATATGAGCACATCATCCATTACTGTCCTCATATAAATTATTTTTATAAGGTTTGAAGAAAGATGAGCCAAATAAAATGTTTTATTCTGCAAAAGTGAAGCTTTCAGGTAACTCTGGAAAGAATGCCCAGGGTTTGCATTTGAAAAGGAATGGTCTTTGTCAGCTTTCAAAAAGTCATGCAATTTTGTTAAACATTGGTGACAAGCTCCTAGCAAAGTCAACAAAGTCATTTTGTGTATGAACAGATTGTTCAGATTCCTTTAGGTACAGCAGTGTTTATCTTAAAATTAGGATAATAATTTTGCCTGGGGCAAAATGTCTACAGTAAAGTGGTCTCACAGTTAAACTTTCTTCTTAGAGAGTGGCAAAAGATATTTGTGTTAGTTCTGGCAAGTGCAGTCAATTATAAATCTGCAATATTTTGAGTAGAGACATGTTCTATCAAAGATGCTGAAATTAAATACAAAGAGTAGTAAGTAATTTGTTCTCTCATTTCTTGTGTTTGTTTGAACAGATGTTTTCAAAATCTTCATCTGAGCTACCTGCCTGCTAAACCTTACACCTTTCCATTTTAGGTAAGATCTGACAGATCAGTAAACCTATTTTTCACAATTTCATTTCAGAGTAAAACTATAAAAACAAGTAAAGATAGAAACTAAAAGTGCGCATAAGTAAAAAGGGGCAAGGAGGAGGTAGGAGACAATCATTTTCAAAAAAACAAGGGGATTTCCCTGCAAAATTATTTACCCATTTTCCAAGACAAATTAAAAATATACTGACAAAAACAAGGTCATGACTATCTGAGGAGAGAGTTCAGCTAGTCATCAGTGTTTGCTGCAATAACAGCACTTTTAAGAGATTTAAAAAAATTAATATCCTACTTAGTATTTAGGGGTTTCTTTTCTTAGTGGGATTCTCAGAGATCAAGTTCATGTGGAGGAAAATGCTTCCTTACAGGTCTTCCTTTTTTTTTTTTTTTTTTTTTTTTCCTCCACCTCTAGTAAGTTGCAAAACAACTAACTGTATCAACATTTTGGTTTTGCTCCCTTTTGTATTGCCATAGCCACTTTTGGTTTGTGCCCTTTCCTTTGTTTTCAGATCCCACCTTTGATTCTCATTTTCTCTGTCTTGATGTAGTAGTATTTGAAAAAGTTATATTAAAAATATTCTTCTTAAAAAAATTAACAACAGGGTAATACTTTAGAATATTAACTTCCAGCATGTAAGGCATAAAAATCTGCCATCAGAGACCAGTTCATTCACCTTGATGCAGGAAATAGAATTCATAATGGAACTTAAAACTAAGGTCCATATTCTCTGTTTCCCTAGAGCCCCTATCCTCTGAGCAGGAAACAGGCAAACCTTTAATATTTAAAACAATAATATAGTTTTTTTCTCTATATGCTGTACCAGTGAAATACCTGAAAGCTCAAATTTGTGTCAATGCCTAATTAAAAAAAAAAAAAAAAAACCTCACAGTAAAAAGCTATATGCTAGACCTCTTCCACCATATAAATAGAAATACTGGTACAAACTAAAATATGTAAAGGGAATAAGAATAGGGAAATGAAATTTTGCTCCATGAGGATGCCATTTTATTTTATGTGTCTCAAATATCCAGTCTCAGAACCAGTTAAAGTGAAAGAATGTGGCTAATTTCTGGCAATGATATAAAGGCTATGAAAACAGTTATGGTGCCATTTGTCAAAAACATGAAGACATATTTTGGATAGAAGTCCATGCAAGTGAAGTGGATTTAGCTACCTGAAAGAACAAAAACAGGTCACTTTCTTCATGAGGAACGTCACCATTTCCCATTAATATAAATAGGACCTAAAGGCACAGAGGCATTCTTTGCACAATTCCTGTTGAAATAAGTATCTTCTGCCTACTGTTAGCATCTTTGAGTATGTTGCCTCAGACTGCCCTGATTGACTCATATGCTTCACACTAACTCCTTAGGGTCTTTTTTATTAACGTAGTTGAATACAATTTCATTATTTCCTTGATGGAAGATCCAGTGGGCTTCATGGAGGTGATTGTGCCTAAGTGTGATCTGTCTGTCCTGAAGTGAAGGAACTGAAAAATTCATTTGAAGTCAGTGGGAATTATTGTATCCTGAAGGGGAAAAGCAAGGTCCAAGGGACTCAAATCTTCATTGTTGGGATCAATTAAAGAGTTGGATGAGGAATAATGATATGGTAGAGGTATTTTGTCCAGTTGACTAATGGATATAAAATCTCCAGGTGCTTTTTTATGAAGTAGTGATAAGTACAGTTTCACTGTGACACACTTGTTCCCTTATTCTGTGTGTATTTGAAACAAATCAAAATAAAACCTCTAGTCAAGCTTTTAGTGGAAATTAACATTAAAAGCATGCAAGACTGAAATAAGGCAGAAGTGAGGCAACATCCTTGCCAAGGAACATGCAATTAGGGAAATCAGTTTATAATCAGATGTCTGCCAAACAACTAGTAACTGCTGTCAAATTCAAGACTGACATAGGACAGAATATATAATTTAATTTTGACCTTAGATATAGCACATTTCTTAAGTTTTCATGGATCTGTTTTAATTTGGGAAACAATAAACGGTAGTAAGAGAGTTTGTCCAGAAGATGACACACCACCACCTTGCCATGTTTAACAAGCTGCCACTTGTTAGATAAGCCATATGTGTGTGTGCATAACAAATGTAAAGTGAAATGCATTAGCTTAATCCCCTCCAAAGGTGATTTCTACTAATCTGTTTTTAGTTTGCAGTTTAACAGGCTAGACATATGTCTACAGCCAGTTTTTGTGACACAGCTGGTTAAGTATGGTTGGCCGTCATCATTATTTGCTATTACTTGTCCAAACCTTAAATGTTATAAAAGTAAGAAGTTTAGAAACTGAATCATGATATATTCCCTGTGTTCATTTTCTCCTTCGGATTTAAAGATTAAATAATAAGTTTGCTTGAATTTGTGGCCAAACTTATACAGAAAGTGCTTTTCAGTGATTTGATAACTGTCTTTCTGATAGCTCACATAATACATAATACAATAATAAATAAATTAAAATTAAAAAATTTAAAATGTTATAATCTACTGAGTTTGAGGCATTACACGTACTTACAGGAGAACAAAATGTGGAGCTCTCTTTTTCCTACTGAATAAGGCATATATTAATTCTCTTTCACCTGAGATTATGTCTAAACTTTTCAGCACTGTAGGCCTAAAATAAGGTAGCCTGTGTACCAGGTCTCCCATCAGATGTGTTCAGCCAATGGATGTTCCACATTCTTAAATTTAGAGATCCCATATGTATGCAGAGATTTAATTTAGAGATTATAAAAGGTTTCTTTAATAGGCTGAAACATATTTTTTTAAGCTTGGCATCTGAGTTCATTACAATGTCATTATCCTAGTAACATTATACAGGACGAAATGTAGGTGATTTTTTCTTAAAAATTAAGTTCTGGATAGTTCAATTTGTTCTTAAACTGTCTTGCAGTATTATACCACTAGTATCTTGTGCTTACTGGTGTTCCTGCTGAGTGTCTCCCATAGCCACCGAAGAAGGAATGAAAGTCATATGTGGTGCTATTGACTGCACATTCCCCAATTCCCACCCCCCAAGGGGCTGCTTCTTTCCACCCATCAGAACCACACACCTCCATTTGCAGCTCCAGGCAGGAGAGATAGATGCAAGTCTCAGGCCTAAACTGATTCACTGAAATGTGCTTGGTAGGTGGAACTGAAATGGAGTTGGGCTATTATAGTGTATCTAAGTTAGACAATAAGGTAGGGATTTATTGACATGAGAGACATTTGGAAAGCAGGGATGGATTTTAATTTTTTTTTTTCTTTTTTTAATAAATTGCGTTACTTTAATTCCTGGTCTTCTAAAATGAAGATCTTGTTAGATTTCTAGCTAGCTTGTAACTTGGGTGGTATGGTAGGTATAATATGTTGCTTCTTACCTATGCTGTGTTCAAAGATTGTTTTACTGCCCACAGAATATTGGGTGAGGCAGAAGAGTGAGTAAGGAACAGTGCAAAGTAACAGTTTCCAAAGAAAACAGCATGGTGATAAAGGAAACAATTCCAGTGCTTCTCAGTGAGTCTAACATTACCCATAGAAATGCGTATTTATGGCTAATATGTAAATGAAACAGCCATCATTGGCTCTGTTTAGTTATAAAGCACTGAAAAAACAGAGAATTAAAAAAGACGACAAATAGTCTTTATGTTACATAATGTCTTAAAAAAAAAAAAAAAAAGCTGGCAAAAATACACTACTATAGAATGGAAACATCAAGAGAAATGCTATTTTTGTAGCGATTTACTGAAAAATTCCTTGAAGAAAAACAATTCCTTTGCATAGAACATTTGATGCTAATGCCACAAGAATTTTCTTAGCTATGGAGTTTCCAGTGAGGTAACTCTCTAAAATGTTTCCTTTCAGTTACATTGTAGACAACCCAAATATGGCAAAGGAGATTATTTTAATTTTATTAATAGCTCTAAATAATACTCAGAGGAGAGGAATAATAAATCTCAGGACTATGATGTTGCAAAGCAGAAAACAGTGTGAGGTAGGATGCAGAAGATAAACACTTCACAGATGATTGTTGTTCCTTAAGCAGATGGTGCATAGAGGACTAGACTGATTTTTGTGGTATGGTAGGTATTACACAGCACATGTTGCTTTAAGAATAATGAAGACATTTGCCATCCCTCAAATTAAGGGGAAAATGTATTGTGCTATAACTAATGAGCTGTCTGAGTTATTTTTAACTCAGTTTATTAAGAAAAGATTGGAGCAAACCACAGCAATAAATCTTAAGGATACATGCATCCCAGATTGATTTGCATTCAAGGTCATGACAAAGTTCACCAAAAATGTGGATGTCAGCAGAACAGCTCTTCACATATCATTGACTGCTTTGCTTCTTTCCTTTTTAGGTAGCACTAAAGTATAATGATGATTATTATATCACAGTAGGATGTGATGTTAGGAACAATATATACTTGTGCATGCTTGTGTTTCAGTGTTTGTCACATGCCTGCTTGTAGCTTTCTCGTTTGAGTGGAAAACATGCAATACTGAACAAGTCTATAAAAAAAACCAAAGTAAATGTTGAGTCATAAAGAATATTCCTTCTGGGGGAGGCATTCACACCACTTGATTTTACACATTCAACTAAAATGCCTCATACAGAACCTTATCTTCCTGTGTCATGAATGATAAAAATTATTTTATTTGTGGCTGTAGTTTAGGACCTGGGAGCTCCTCCTGTATCTGGCTCTGGTGTGCATCTTCACTAGATTAATACTCCATGTCAGTGATCTGATTTCTGTGGCAAAACCAAAGTATCTAAAATGGGCTTCAGCTCGTGTAGGATCTTAACTTTCTCCATTAACTTTATGTGGAAACAAGCATCCCACCTTAGTCATTTAATTTAGGTTTAAAGGTTAGTCAGTTAGACATTTAGATACCTTCTGAGCAGTAGTTACCCATACCACAAATCTGGATAATTTAATTTACATGTGATTTTAGATGGCATAATTTTATATCTTTTTATAGTTCCAT